GCGAGTCCTGTGGCCGCGGGGGCCCGCCCCCCGCTAACGGCAGCCGCTTTGAAAACGCCGCGGGGCTGCCGGGCGCTCGCAGCACGGGGCCCCGGGGCAGGAGGAGGGGCCGGGGCTGCACTGAGCCCTGCGCACGGAGGAGACTTTCCTGAGTCTCTTCTCCCGCCCCTCAGAGGCGCCCTGCCCCCTCGCAGCACAACACTGCGGCTGTGTCTACATTGGCGCCATGGCACAAAAACATGGGGCCTGTCTACACTGGCCAGGAGTTCTTGTACAAGAACACGGACCTTCTGGGAGTGAAATCAGGGCTCCTTGTGCAAGAACGATGATGCTCTCGCTCAGGAATAAGCCCTCGTGCAGAAGTCTTCTTGCACAACAAGCCAGTGCAGACAGGCAACGTTAATTTCTTGTGCAAGAAAGCCCAATGGCTAACATGGCCATCAGAGCTCTCTTACGCAAAAGAGCATGTACACTGGCACGGATGCTCTTGCGCAAAAGCATATGCCAGAGTAGACACTCTTGCACAAATACTTTAACGCAAGAACTCTTGTATGCATGTTCTTTTAACTGTCGTGAACATTAGAATTTCAACATAGGATCCTCTGCACAAAAAAGGGCAAAGTCTCTAACTACGGAAGCAAAATGCAGGACAATGTAGCACTTTAAAGACTAAAGTGCTACATTGTCCTGCATTTTGCTTCAGCTACCCCAGACTAACACGGCTACATTTCTATCACTATTCTAAATACGGAGGCATCATCAGTTTCTGCATCACAAAGGTACCAAGATTGACTTAAAAAATGTGTTACCATAAATTTACAATTCCTCTTTTCTGAACACATTTATTTTTCCCAGATAATATATTATAAATTTCAGACAATTTTAAATAAAGCTTTTGATTTAACAAGTTAACCTGTAGCTTCTGGCCTCTAAAGTCGTATTTATTTTTAAATAAGCAATCCAAGAAGAAAAAATATTGAAGACAAAATTTCATTCTAAGGCTGTAATTTTAACTCCTATAAACATAAAACATTATAAAAAACCTGATTGTCTCTTTACAGTAGTGCAAGGGATATCCAGTGCCATGTCTTTGAAGAGCAAGTGATGGGAATGGCATTCATGAAGCCCTTTTATAATCCAGCAACTCTTCAAAATTAAAGGTTCTTTAATTTTTTCAAACACACAACCTCCACAAAGTTTTCAAGAAAATAGCTGAGTCAGTCAATGAAGCAAGCTCAGGAGGAAGTTCAGGGTCTTGTTCTTGAAGTTTCTAATCAAGGCATGCTCTTCTAGATGACAGACAGCTCAGTCAACTTGCTCAGGGTCAAGAAGTTCCATGAAAGTGAAAGAAGGCCAAAGCATAATCCTTGATGCTGCCACTTGTCTTCATCTTAGAAATCTGCAAGCAAGGCATTTTCATGGACAACAGCAAGAGGTCAGAAAGGAGGACAGTCTAAATGCTACAATCTGGTGCTGTGTAAAGTTGACCTTTCCCACTATAAGGATCTAAGAAAAGCAGCTACAGAAACAGTTTTGACCACACATTATAACTTTGCATTTTCCCCTCAAACTTCATTGCGAGAATATAAAATATCCACGTCCACGTAGAAGGTGAAGAAAATGCTTCCATGTTCACCACAGAAAACAAACAAAATGCACGACAATGAGGAAAAGCGGTTTTCTGCCTGCATAAAAGGATACACCAATATTAAAATTAGGTTTTTCTATTTTCCTGCTCTTCTTTAGAAATATTTTATTGCATTTTTATTACTGTCATTTTAACATTTTTACATTTCAT